GTTTCTAGCCATCTTACAGAAGACCTCAGATTCCTGATTGGAAAAACCATACCTTGCTCTTAAGCCAGACCTGCTTTCCTTGCTGTGCCTTACCTAGAATTGTATGGATAGGGAAAAAAGCAACTGTGATGGGTAGTTTTGTGGAAGAGAAGGAAAAAATGGATCTGCTCGTTCTGTTCTAAAGGTAAAAGCACTATGTCCCTTCTCAAACTATCTGTGTATGGGCCAGAAATAATTAGCAACATTTTAATATTCCTTTAATTGACAGAAATTCTAGTAATCTGTTTCCATGTGGAATAGAGTCAAGAAATAAAGTTATATTAAAGAATTGCAATTAACATTGGATTACAAGTATTTTGCAGAAAACAATAAATTGTACAGATGAAATCAGTGATCCAAATACATAAACGTTGAAGAGACTGTTTTAGGGTTATGGATTATTAACTTCGTCAGGCTTATTATTAGCACCAGGAAAGTAGTATTTGGTAATGTAGAGCTTTTTCAAGAGTTTATAGAGCTTCAGAAGCACTTTGGGTCACGATGCTATTGCAGGCAATCCAGCCCCTTCATCCTTTTCACAGTTCAGTTGGGTTAGTTTTGAGAGTTGGAGCTCATCTTTGTCACTGCCAAGAGATACAGAAAGCTTTAAGAAAGGTTGAAGAAAACTTCTGTAATTTGCATTTCCCTTGGGAGATATACTAAAATGACAAGAGGACAGGAGTAAATGAAATTTAAAGTGAAATTTAATTGTGAAAGAAAAATCCAAGCACTATATGTTAAAGTGTCTAGGCAGATTTTATTCCATGCTTTTAATGATGCCAGGCAGCACTACTACAGTTACAGCTACCTATGGCTATCCCATTGCCTTAAATTGGAATTTTAAACATGGGATTTTCTTCCTTTTATTCTGGTTTTTCTGCGATGTTCCGAAGAAGCAGAATCTGAAACATGATTCTGGCTGCTTTTTCTGTATCAGTGTATATTCTTCATATGTTTTCTGTTAACTGTAACTTCAGATCTGAAAAGAATATAGTGAGGAGAGCTTCTAAGGGGTTGCAGCATAGATTATTTTTGTTTTACTTGCTAAAAAACTTAAATATAGCTTAATAATTTTGAAATACACATCAATGTAAACCCAAATATAGCTAAGTGATATTTCAAATGTTGAGCACATATAGAATACAGCTAGAAACCCTGACTGCTTGTCTCTCTGTGCTTCCAAGCTGTTTATCTATTTAGCACTTTAATCTGCTGTTAATGATCAGAAACAATATTTCTCTTAGAAATGTCTCTTTGAGTACGTTGGGAGCACCAACAAATACTTAGCACCTAACGTGACATTGCGTTTTGGAACTGAAAAGAATCACGGAATTATAAGGGTTGGCAGGGACCTCTGGAGATCACCCAGTCCAACCCCCTGCCAAAGCAGGGTCACCTACAGCAGTCACACAGGATCGCATCCAGGCGGGTTTTGAATATCTCCAGAGAAGGAGACTCCACAACCTCTCTGGCAGCCTGTTCCAGTGCTTGACCGCGCTCAAGGTACAGAAGTTCTTCCTCATCTTCAGGTGGAATTGCCTGAGTTTCAGTTTGTGCCCATTGCCCCTTAACCTGTCGCTGGGCACCACTGAAAAGTCTGGCCCCATCCTCTTGACACCCACCCTTAAGGTATTGATAAGCATTGATGAGATCCCCTCTCAGTCTTCTCTTCCCCAGACTGAACAGACCCCGTTCCCTCAGCCTGTCCTCATCAGGGAGATGCTCCAGTCCCCTCATCATGTTCATTGCCCTCCGCTGTCCTCTCTCCAGTAGTTCCTTGTCTGTCTTGAACTGGGGAGCCCAGAACTGGAACCTGCCTTGACCTGCTGGCCACACTTGTCCTCATCCACCCCAAGGTACCATTGGCCTTCTTGCCCACGAGGGCACATTGCTGGCTGATGGGCAACTTCTTGTCCCCCAGGACTCCCAGGTCCTCCTCCGCCGAGCTGCTCTCCAACAAGTCACCCCCCAGCCTGTACTGGTCCATGGGGTTATTCCTCCCCAGGTGCAGGACCCTACCCTTGCCCTTGTTGAATTTCATCAGGTTCCTCTCCACCCAACTCTCCAGCCTGTCCAGGTCTTGCTGACTGGCAGCGCAGCTTTCCCGTCTATCAGCCACTCCTCCCAGTTCTGTACCATCAGCGAACTGGCTGATGGCACACTCCGTCCCTTCATCCAGGTCGTTGATGAGTAGCTTAAACAATATTATGAATATTATGAACTCATTAACATGGGATTGATCTTCTGGAGGAATACGCTTGCCGACAAGAGACAGAACTTCAGGAGGTTACCTGGGTCATATACCAATGTGCAGATTTCTTTTGGACATAATTACCTCATTCTCCCTGGTGGAAGATTCAACTTACTTGCCAGTATTTTGGCCATATCCCTCTTTTCCTAACTATTGAGGAAAGGTGTAGTAATGGCAGATGCCAGCCACAGAAGGGTGGGGCAGTGGAAAATTAAAAATGAGAGCTACGCTAGACTTTAAGAAAGGAAATGTGCTGAATTTGAATTCATTTAAGACGTGATGATAAATACATGGTTATTTCAGTTTTTTTAAAAATAAATTCTTTGCATGTTACGTATCTGGATAACTCATGTGAGTTTAAAAGCTAACTTTGTGGTCAGCATTTTTATCCAGCTTCGTTCTGATTTAAGGACAGCGGATCAAAATCACGGTGATAAAGAATTATTAATGTGACATGAAATTTTTGCTAAGGCGGCTGTAATTATAATGCTTTTTATTATAAGAACGCCTGCAAGCTGCTAAACAGTGAATGGCATTAGTTCCCTTGCCCTTGACATGGGAGTAACTACCTTGCTATTGTGTTGATGAGGGGAGCGTTGGTTTATTACAAAATCTGACTATGTAATTACATTTGACGAAAAATACTTTTTGGCTGGCTTGAAATTTTGTAGGGCTACGAGTACTTTAAATTCTTTGAATTGGTTATACTGTACTTACTTGCATTCGAATGGCTTACAGGTTTTTATCCTTTGCACCTTGAATCTCACAGACTAGAAGACCGAAAACTGAACTTTCTTAATTCTTCTGTCTTTAAGAAAATGTGTTATAACTAATTTTTAATTTAGGCATTAGTAAAAAAAGGAAATAAGCATTTTATTGGGTTTTTTTTTAAAGGTGAGGGCTTTTTTTGTGCTGTATAATTCAAGATTCTGACCTATTAAATGAATAATTTGATGAAATGCTCAGTCTCTGCCACAAAATTTCAAGATACACTCAAAAAAATTAACTGCTAAGCAGGTCGAATATCATCCAATGTGACTGGGAGGGACTGGTTCTTGTCACCTGGGAAGGTATCGGGAGCCCAGATACGATAAAGGTGGAGGCCCAGTGACACTGAAGTTCTGATGTGCCACCGTAGCTATTGGGGGAGGACAAGTTTCATCCTTTCCCCTGACTTTTTTCCCCAGTAATGCTGAGTCTGCGGCAGCTCTGCTTCAGTTTTGGTGCTTTTCTTCTTTATTTTGTTTTGGTTTTTTTTTTTTTTTACCCCCACACAGTGTAATACAGTCTTATGAGCAGCGGCAGGGAAGTAAGGACTTACGGACTTGCTGGAGAGGGCTGAGCGGAGTCTTCTAATCCTCCCCTGCTGCTCCTTCTCCCTTCCAGTCTCCTTTAATTGGTATTTGGGCATGTAACTGGTCAACTTGGTTCACCAACACTGCTGTAATTAGGAACAGGAATTTCAAATGCAGTAGTTTAGTATTGGAGTTAATTTTATTTTTTTTTCATGCTGTAAGGATTAAGTATGAAAATGACTCTGCATTTCAGGCTCAAACGTCAAAGTTGAAACAGTCTGATAATGAGAGTTTTAACAAGCAGCCTTCAGGTTAATACTGGAGCTGTATATGCGCCATACATATACACCTAGATAAAGGGGAGGGTATGCTAACCTGCGTTCTCGTTGTAGTTCATGAGCAGAGAACCGAGAGTTGGTGTGGAACGATGAAGTATTTGCGTTTCTGTACCTAATACATTCTTGCTGGTCTAAAATGAATGAAGTTTTGCTGCTTTGTTACATGTGTATTTTTGAGGCCGCCGTGAGACAACGAAAACTTACTTACCCGAGAGGAATCAATCAGTCTGTTTTTTTGACAGTAGCAATAGTGATTTGGCACTTCAAACTTCTGTTTCTTTTTAACTTCAAATTATTGTAAGCAGTTTGTACTTCCATACCTTTACATCTTACATGCAATCTCTTAAAAAGGAGTTTCAGAGCAGTGTAAGTACCTCCAACTGGAGTGCTTTTCAAGTTGTTTCATCTTCTGTAGGAATGCAAAAATATGAAGCTGAGTTTAATAATGCCTTAAAATTTAAACTTAAATTGCTGTTGATCCTGGCTTTTTTCCCAAGAAGTTTATTCTTTGTGTTGTCTACCCACAATAATGAGCAATGATGGTGGTCTCTACAGGACTCTCAATCTGGAGATTCTAGACTAAGCAGTGTTAGTTTTTGTGACTGTGTTTTGCCTAAAATATGCTGAGTTTATTAAAAATAGGCGTGATGGACCAAGTTGGTTTTATTAAAAAGGCAACATACAAGCTCCTTTTCATCTCTTAGTATGCTGGTGTTATCGGGATCGCTACATGAATCCTTCAGGTGGTCTCTGTTCTGTGTTTAAGGTTCTCCCCTTCAAACATATGCTTTTGTTTCACCTCTCCTAATCTCCTTGTCACATGTTCCTATGACTTAATTTTCTTGAATTTCCAGCCATCTTTCAGTTCCCACCTCTGTGTGTCCACACCTGTGTTCCTCCTGAAATTTTCATTTTGAGAAATCAAGTAGCCAGGCCTGTCATCTCATTGTACAGGGGTGAATTGGTTTTTCCCTCTTCTCTCTACCTGCACGTCAGATGCTATCTTTTCTTTTAAAGGAGCTTTATTCATTAAAATGTGAACACACATTAATTTTTTTTTTCCCCTTTTCTTTCTAGCTGGCCTGTGGACAGTCTTCACGCTAGGTGGGGTGGGGAGTAAGCCAACGGCGCAGCTGGAGCAGTGCTCCCCGCTAGCTAACCAGAGTCTACTGCTTCTACTGGTCTTGGCCAACCTGACCGATGCTCCGGATACGCCGAATCCCTACCGGCAAGCTATTATGTCCTTCAAGAACACACAAGGTTGGTGTCTGGTTTTACTTCTAAGCATGAACTGATGAAAATGAAGTGCTAAGTTGCTGTGACTATTTAGAGGTTCTTTTTCCAAAATTCGTTTTCCCTCCAGCCAGCCTGTGGATGAGCAGTAATAGTACATTTTCTTCTAGGAGTTTTGAGGTGGAGTTCCTCGGCTGCTGGAACTTAATGGAAGGGGCAGAGGGAGACGGATACTCTTTCCTTCAGGCTTGAGAAATTTTAGAAAGCTTCGTAATTTCATAAAAAATAAATAGAACCGACCTAGTAGGCCGGTTATCCAAGACTCTGCAAGAGTCACCTAAAACTTTACAGCCCTTGAGGAAATTCTGTTTAGCTGGAGTCATGTTCTTTAGAGCTAAGACAAGCAATTGAATCACTAACTGGATTGATTTGCTAACTGTATTCTTGTATTGCAAATGTGAGGAGAAACCGGTTAATGTAAACACTGTCATGAGACTTGTATATACGGAAAGTTTCAGAGTTGTTTGAGTGCTTGCCTGGTGCTTGAAGAGGCTGGTTCCAGTCCGTCTGTCAGGTAACTGCAGGCATGATGCTGTACGGACTTGCAGTGCCCTACTGCAGAGGGTCTTTCCTGGGATGCAGTAATGCCCTAACACAGCTTGGACTATCTAGCTAGCTCAGCTTGCAGACAGTGTGCGTCTTTTCATATATACTTTACCCGTACGCTTAAATCTCTTCAAGTTTGAGCCATGGGGTTTTACCTTTCGTTGGCTTTATGCAGGTTGACATCACACACCGAACTACTCAGCACGGCTCAGGTGTTGCTTGATAACCTGTGAAGCCACATCAATACCTCTGAGTTATTCACTTTATTTGAGGGGGGGGGTTATATTCCCTTAACCATTAAGTTTTTAGCGGATTGAGCTCAAAATTAATTCACCTTTACCTAGGAAATTTTTTGGGGTTATGAGGATGGAGGCTTGTTCTCAGAAGAAGAATTCTTAGTCCTGACATGCCACTTTGATTTATTAGAGACTGTTTACAGGCCATTGAGATCAAATTCTTGATACAGTGTTTGTTTTTCAAACTGCCAACTTCTATGAATGTTTTATTTTGGTTGACTTTGTTTCATGTAATCAGTAACTAGTAATGTATTTCATTGAAAACTGTTACACGTTTATCATTATAAAATTTTAAAAGAACTTACTCTATGTCAAAAGCCGTATTTTCTCTAGATGCGTACATTTATAGAATGACTTACTGTTTTCCATAAACTTGCTTCCGCTAGCAATACTCATATAACTGAGCTTAAATTTGATTCCTGTGAACGTTCTGCGGGGCTGGTAAGAGGAGAATGATCTGAAAAAGAGAGGCTGGTTACTGTCATAATGATCTATACTATGTGACTGTAAAATGAAAACTGGCTTTTTGGTTGAAGTAATTTATATAATTTAATTGGGACAAAACAAATAAAATTGAGGGTAGGTTTCTTTATTCTACAGAGTTTAGAATAGTTTAATTTTTCTGTTGGTCAGTTTAATGTTCTGTAGGATAATACAGGATATGCTGCTGTTGCCGATAAGTTTCTTTAATACTATTTAGATATTTTTTTGTACGGTTTTTTTAAATATCCTCTAATAAAACAGATAGTGAAGTGCTATAAATGTAAGTAGCACAGTTTAAACATCCACAGAAGTGAGGCTTGAAAGTCAGCGGACACCCCTCAGCTAATGAACCCTGGCATCAAGTTGCTGCTTAATAGAGCACGTTGAATCGATCTAATTTTGCTGTCTACATCTAACTTTTCCCTAGTAAAGAGAAATACTCGCCTGAAGGAGGACGATTTGAAACAGATCAGTCTATAATCACGATCAGTGATTGAAGGGGACGTGGGGGCATAAATGGTAGTTCAGAAAGGACAGGTTTTACTCTCTCCTCTGCTTATTGGTATGTCATTTTGGGGAGAAGCAGGGTTTCCATCGCCGATGGGCTGCGTCTCGCCTCTGCGTGTGCGGCAAATGCTTCCCGACTCCCGCAGAAAGGAGAAGCGTTTGCTCCGGTGCCTCCTGCTGAGTTCAGCTGAATGGCTGGAGCTCTCACTCCTCGCCCAAGCCAAGAGAAGCAGCGACTCCCCAGGACATCGTCTCCACCGGGCCCCCAGAAACGCGGTGGGAGCCAAGGCTCCTGTGGGGCTCCTGCAGGTCTTCCAAACCCTTTTTCCTTCCAAAAAGGGTGCAGATGTTGTTCAAAATAAGTGACAACTACCATATTTCTTCCATGCTGAAAGCTATTTAGAAACTTTGCTAAGAATACGGGCTAAAAAGAAAGAGGAAAGCGAGATGCCCACCTCTCAGTGGATGTAGGGAATGTTTGCGTGATCAGTCCCTACCAGTATAAAGATTTCTCCAGAGGAGTGGAAAAGTTTGATAAGAAACCATGGGAGTATTCATTTAAAAGCCAAATTTGTGTTGGCTCGCGGTCGCTGCCCATGGGCACGTGCGTGATGATGTTGTTCTCGCTGTTTTCTGCGGTGATGCACTCTATAATATCTGAGAAATCTTTCAAGATTTGAGGAAAAAGGAAGATTTGGATGAAATGCGGTAGTTGCTGCCTATTATGCCGGCTATGGTAATACAGTTGACTGTAAAATGGCTTGTAAAAATGCAGGTTTTGAAATTTGCATTTTTTTTTCCTTTATTCTTCTGAGTCTTTTCTTCCTCTTCTTAAAATCCCTTCTGTCCAAAAGTCCCTGTGCAGAAGTAGTGGTAGTATTGTCACACTGTTTTATAAAGCAGAGCTTTCCTAAGTTAATGCATTTTTAATAAACGATAAACAATTTGGACATCTGTAGGCTGTTATTGTGGGAACTACAGAATTTTAGTTAAATTCTTCAACTTTGAACATCTTGTTTATAGTAATAGAGAAATTTTTAAGTCCAGACCTTTAGTTTACTTGAGTATCCAAACTGCTATTGTTCCCAGAATATCACCTTGCCATGAAATTGGTGTAATTTTTCCATATGCGTAGCTTGTTTGTGTGCTCAGAGAAGTAGCCTTTGTATTCAGTCGCCAGGACGCTGAAATAAATCAGTCCAAAAAGGCAGACTCGTCCTACTTTATGTGTCATCACAGAAGATGCATGTTTTGAGAAATGTACCTGCTCTGCACTGGAACAAAACCTTGTACTCTCAAATTTGATTTTTTTTTTTCTTTTTCTTTTTTTTTTTTTTGTTTTTGTGAAGAATGCAAAGGTAAAATTTCTGACTTGGGGAGATCAGAAGGCTGAATAAAAGCCTGAATCTGGCTTTCTGACATGAGTATGAGTACATCAACTGTCACACTTGCTTTTTGCATTTCCACTGGAAATTCCTAGATGTTAGAGATCTTATGCTGATGGACGTTTTTCTTGAAGCTGGTAAAGCTTCTTGTGGAAAGGTTCTGTGAACAGAAATCTGTTTTATTCTCACTTCCAGCTCTGGCACAGATGATATTATGACAAACTGCTGTTACTTTGAGGGCTGTTAGACTATATGACGCGGTATTGTAAGTCACTTTAACCCACTAAACTCCTCACCACACACTCATCTTTAAAGTCCTGACACCACCTATGTTTCACTGAAAATATAGTGATAGTCTTCACCTATGCGTGTCTGCCCTTCATGCCAGGAAACGGATAGGAGTTACTCCACCTTGATGCCAGTGAGCTAAACCTGGGAGTTGGGGGTCCAGAGTTTGGAAACACATGAATCTACATCGGTTCCGGAGAAGATGCTGTAGCTCCCCTCCTTGCTCCTGGGATCGCCTTCCTTTGTAACAGTGGGAGCCGTTTGGAGAAATGGAATAGCTTTATGAAAAAAAAGGAGCGTCTTGTGCAGGTCCTGGCGTCTTACTGGAGCTCATGTGGGAGGACACCCTCAGCTTTTTGGCATGACTGAAGCTTCATGAGACCCTGTTAAAGTTTATGACCGTCAATGATAAGAGCCATGGATGATTTTTGTTTCCTCCTTACTGTGGTGTCCGTATAAAATATTTCACCCAGAGATTTTATAAAGTTAACAAATAACTGGATGGTAAATATATTTGTTAAAGATTGGGTTTTTTTATTTCTTTATTTCAGATAGCACTGCTTTTTCATCATCAAATCCACACGCTTTCCAGATTAATTTTAACAGTTTATACACAGCTTTGTGTGAGCAGCAGAAATCTGATCAAGCGACTCTTCTTTTATACATGCTTCTGCATCAAAATGGCAACGTACGGACGTATGTGTTGGCACGAACGGACATAGAAAATCTAGTAAGTATTGCTCTGCTTACCTTCTATTCATCACGAGGGGTTGGTCCTGGAAGTTTGGGTGTCACCAGCTACCAGTGTCCCCAGTTCTGCAGTGGAGACAGTAGGTTCTGGCTCACTTACTCACCGGTTCTGGCTCACTTATTCATTTTTATTATGTCTCAGGAGTATGATGCTACACGCATCGCTGCGGTAAAAGATAGTACTGATAAAGCTACCAGGCTGTCTTTGATTCCCTCTTTCTCAGTGCCACTGTTAGTCTGATGCAAGTCAAACCTGCTGACTTCTGGGCGTGGCGTAAAGAAACTGGTAGCAGACATCATTCTAGTCATTATTTTATTTTTCTTTTTTAGATATTCAGGCCAAAAAGTTACACAAGCTTACTGTGCGCGTACAGGCATAATAGTTAACAAAATGAGCTGTAACTTGATTAATATGCCAAATGTCTTACAGGGTTGACCTGAGGCTGAAACTCCTCAAGGAGCAGCTGACAGATTTTACAGAAATGCAACTGTAGTGACTTTTAGCTGCTTTAAATAGGATTGTGGTTAATGGCCAATATAACAGACACCTGGTACGGTTTTTGTAGGTTATGAATTAGCTTATGCTCCCCACTACGTTTAGTAATGTCACAAACCACTTTAACAAATCTTAACTTATTAAAAAGCGTTCCTTTAATAAGATAATGGCTGTCTAGGGGAATTGGTAATGGAATAGAGAACCCTTTCCATTTTAATGTTTGAAATCTTGCCAGATAATTAGATCCCTTGCCTGTTTGATGGCAGATATGGAATGAGTTTGGTCTCGGTCCAAGTTCTAGCAGATGTATTGCTAAAATCAGAGTTGATAGACACCACTGTTGGCAAACTCGGATGAGATGGTTGATGCTGAATTGATTCAAGACCGAACTCCTGTGTAGTCCACTGCAGATTGTCTAGGTGAGGGCTGAGTCATTTTGCATGAGTTCGGTGAACAAATGCTCATCTTTAATTTTCTGGGCTGTTAGTATGTGATACGACAAGTTTTGCAACTGCTAACTGTATCAATTTACCTTAGAGAAATAAAAGTTAGGTATGTACGTTGTTTTATAATTATGAAGTCTGACATATTGTAAAACTTCCAGAAAAAACATGAGGTGCGTGTGTCAAAACAACTCCAGGTGCAGGTCCTCAGATGCTCTGCAATGTGGGATATTTTCTTATATTATCACCTATCTTTCCTCTCCATCAAAAAAAAAGAAAAATTAAATCAGAAAATCCCGGAATCAATCAGCAACATTAAACACTTTGTGGGAAAAGCAGAGAAAATTGGGAAAAGCATCACTGAAAAGTTCATAGTATGTTTGATTTCTTTTTTTTAATACCAAAATTTGAAACTGTCTGCTCTTATTTTACTCTTCATGTATACTATTGCTTTTTGTGATTGCTACTAACACATTACTGACATCTTTGTCCAATCCTCTTGACTTCAGGAGGCTAGTAGGTAAGGATGAGCCGCAGCCAACCGAGAAGAGCAGTTGTAATTGCTTAGTAAGGCAGGCTGAGCCAGACCCAAGAAGAATTGGGGACTGGGAGGGTTACCGGACAAAGAAATCATGATGTCCCAATTACAACCCTGTGGTGAAAAAGGCTAATTTAGTCTTGGGCTTGTAAATGAGATGAAGTGGTAGGAGTAATGGAGCTGGTTCTTTCCTTCCCTATATGGCAAGAGTGTGGTGTTAACACGCTGCGTACTATTCTGGTGGTGTACTACCATACTTTATAAAATGTTTGCAGGCTCTTGAAAAATGGAGAGAGTGTAGAGAAACTTTTTTTTTTTCCTTTAAAATGAACAATAAAACTGTCAGAGGCTTAGAAAGCCAACTTAGCTCAGCTGGTCAGAAAAGAGCTTGAGAAGCATCAGGCTGTGTCCATGCCTTTGCGAGGGGAAAGCCTTGAACAAAACGAACCCTCCGCTTGCAGAGAGGTGTGATGAGAAGTAAAGCCTGGAGGTTGAATCCCACAACTTAAGAGATACGGGAGCAAAACAGTTAAGGTAATTAATTCTGAGGCAAAACAGTGTTCTCTATGGATATCTTTGAATGAGGGTGGATGACTTTTTGGAGGAATATGGGATAAGTCAGTGAGCTCTTCGTATAGAGGCAGACAGGTGAAGTATAAGAGTCTGTGCTATATGAGAGGTCATGCCAACAGTCAGCTCATCTTAAACTTTTAGGGGTTTTACAGGTTGTACCTGTTTTCACTGCACTCGGTCGCATTTGTTATGCTCTCCCCTATTTTAATTCTTCTCGGTTTTGGTGCCCAGGAAGCATCGCTAACAGATGTTCTGTGACATTTCCTTGGGGTTTTTTTTGAAATGTGTCTTTGCTCTTTTGTAGCTTGTTTAATTTGTAAATTGATTCAGGGTGGATTTTTTAACTGTTGTAATAGATAATGTCTCAGCTTGTTTCCTGATTTGTATATCAATCCACTTATAGAGAAATATCTTTATCTTCTGTTGTGCTTTATAATGCTTTATCATTAGTAAGGCAGTGCATCTTTTTTTTTTTTGCTTTTACAAGTCTGCTTGGTAGAATGAATAGGATGTTTGTGGGTCTTCCATAACTTATAGCATGTCACTTTGTATAATGATATAAAATAATTGGGTTAAATATCTGATGCTGTTAGGGATGTTCACACCTGGAATTTAGCTGTCTTACTGAAAGTACTTGCAAGGATTCCCCGGGACACGGTGGGACTGGTGAAACGGGGGTCAGTTAGCAAGTATTTTCGTAAGCGTAGTGTCGTGATCTGTGGATGGGAGAATGTTGAGCCTTTTTCTGTTTGTAAGAGCAGTTAACACCTATATTGCAGGTTAAAAATGCCAGTGAGATGCCTGCTTCGAAGAAATGAGCTGTTCCTATTGTATATGTTTGCTTTGGCTGCTGCACTGTGCGGCAGCGCTGTGTGCTATAGATTTTGTTGCTGCTCAGCATGACAGGACTGAAATAATGTATATGATGGTATATTTATATCAGCTGATGGTACAGCAATATTTTTTTCCTGTGGTATATATTTGGCTTAAGCAGGTTACTCCTGTGGCTATGCGGTCTTGTATTTTGTTGTCTACTAAAGACAAGCTATTTTAAAACTCTTTGCTGGGGAAACTGTTCCTGACCTTGGACTGAATATAGCACCTGCAATTTTCAGTGTCTGTTTTTACCTTGTTTTGGGGATTAAAAGTAACTTTTTAATGGTGGCTGTGTCTTGCCAGTTAAAAGCTGCTCCTGATGGAGAAGTGTTAGTAGTAGTCCAGTAATGAGAGTTTAATGACTATGAATAAAAGGGCCAGCAATAAAAAAAAAAAGGGTTATTGTCTTCTCAGGACGTGGCTGGGCAATGCCATTGCATAATATAAAAGTTTTAATGTATGTGTGAAACATAAAAGTGTGGAAATGCATTTTGGATACAATTCTAGATAAATTTTAATATAGAGATCATATAATTAAAATTTTAATTTAATCTTATATACTAACTGTTGTTTTTATTGAAGTGGTGGCTTGTCAGATAGTTGTTGTTCTGAGAACAGTAATACTTGTCCTAAAGGTTTGTGAACTTCAGCAATCAGTATACCGAGGAAAAAATGTTTGGAGGAGGAAAGGTTGTGGAAACAGTATGAATTGAGTCAAGTTTCATCTGGAAATGGCAGGTAGAGAGTGTTAAGTTGCCATTTGCCTCCTTGAGTTTGGTCTTGTGCGTAGATGGAGAGAAGTCTGAAAGCGGAGTGGAAAGGAAAGCGTGGCCAGGGGAGTGGAGGTGGGAAGAAAGAGATTTCAAGAGCTTCCGAGGTGGGTTTGGGGCAGGAAGACTGAGTGCAGTGGTCTGGAGAGCCAAATCACTCTTCAGACTAAGAGTGATTTCAGTAGCTAGTATGAAATTTTAGTAAGAGTACTTTGACATATCGGCTCATATGTCTATAATGTCTCAGTGTCAGAATCGAGGTCCCCTTTTTTAACGTAGTCTGTAGCCACACGTTTTTAGGATTTGGACCACTTAAGGAACACGGATGTACTTTTTCAGCTTGACCTAGTATTAACTAGGTCAACAGTTTGACCTAGTATTAATGTGCCTAGACAGGGGAGATGTGTTGGGCCGTTCTGAAGGAATACACAAGTAGCTGTCTTAAAAACTCAGAAGTTGTTCCACTGGTTACCTTCAGAAAGGCTTTTCTCATTGCAAAGTCAAGTTGTAAATGCAATTCTTTGATAGTTTTATATTGCTTCCTGCTATAGGCAGCTCATCATAACACTTGGACATGGAAGTGACTTTGAGCTTGTCCAGTGCAAAGCTACAGGCAGTATAAATATTGGAAATGGGAATAATTTGGATGGTGGACTAGTGCAGTGATGTTTGTCTCCCTTGTCCCCCATCCAAGGAAAAGGACTAATGGTTGGGTTTTTTTGCTATGTGGATATTCTAGGGAAAACCTGCTCTTTACTCTCAAGCCCTATATTCACAAAACACAAAGACATTGACTCCAGTTTCAGCTGGAGACAGAGGTTTGGGAAGGAACCTTTGAAATGGTAAAGGAAGGATGTTTGCAATGAGTAAATATTTTTTTCCCTCTGCTTTTGTTGTGGTATTGTCTTGACCCTGGCCAAAGAATCTGTCAAAAAGTTTTGTGGCCTGCAACATTTAGATCAATCTCATTGGTTTTAATAGAAACTGTGGCATGTTGCAGTATGTTCCAACTGTTTTGGGACTGGTTGATGGTAAGAGAACATTCTGGTAACTTCGGAGGCTTGTGAAGCACTCGATGTCCTGGCTGTTCCCCAGAATAGGTTTCATATGATTCATCCTGCTGCACTCAGCCTATTTTGAAAAACAGCAAGTCTTTAGGTGTCTAGAAGCTTCTTGGAATGAATTCTGCATCTCATCTGCTATCTGAGAACCGAGAGTTTTCTCCAGTTCCTTTTTCCAGGGTATTTTGCGATTTAGGCCTATTTCTGCAGCTTGAGGAAGCCACGTTGTACTGAGCCAGTGGAAAGCTAATTTTCAGTTGGTAGAGAGACAACGTTTGCATCTGGATTAACTTTAGACTAGCATTCAGGTATGCTTGCTATTGCAATGAAATCTCATTTTCATTATTATTGCAAGACTTTGGCTTAAGCCGTTCATCCTGGTGGAAATGTTGCAAGACCTTGGGCTGAACTCTCATCGTAATGTCAGTGCTCTTTGGCTGCGTATTATCTAGAATTGGAAAAACAGGCCTTTTCTAGTCTTAACCCAGCCCAAACCGGTTCTTTTCTGGGATTATCTCCACACACCAAAATGAGATTTGAATTTTAGGTCTCAAAATGCCTCTGTGCATCTCAGCTGCAATGCGCCCGGCTATATTTGATGAGGGCGGTCCTTTCAGACCAGGCTTGTGCTAGCACAAATGGTTAGAAACAATTGTTTTCCTGCTTGAACGTGTGAAAATCTTGTTTTAACGATTTTATTTTCGCATAATCTAGAGGGGGACTAAAGCTCTCAGAGCCTATGCTAACTGGTATGGCTGGAAATCTCATTTATTAGGAATTGAAATTCCATGTCTGACCACAAGAAATAATTTGTTTAGACTCTGTCATGGAGTCAGAATAAAACAGATGGAAGGTGTTTGAACACTGTACGTCACTATTTAGGGGTGGTTATTTCAAGAGGGAGGAATTGCTATGATATTGTTACGGGCAGGGTGGTACACGGGAGGTTTAGAGTCTCCTCTGTTTATTGTCTGAGGTGTTTGAAGACTAAACTAACACACACATTTTTGCTTCCCTAAAGGTTCTGCCAATTCTTGAAATTCTGTATCACGTTGAAGAAAGGAATTCCCACCATGTTTACATGGCTCTTATCATTTTGCTGATCCTTACAGAGGATGATGGCTTCAACCGGTCCATTCATGAAGTGGTGAGTTGTTGTTTTGGTAAATAATTCTTCAGCTCTAAAAATCGTTTAAGTATTTATTTTTGTAAAGATACAGCTGTGTATCTTTCCTCAACAGAGGCTGTACGTGTTCATTCAAATTTGATGGCATATATGTATTTTTTTCGTAAGGACTAGTAACCTGAAGTTACTAAGTTCAAAGCAAAACTTTCCCGAGTGAAGTGAACAAACGGGCTGCTTCTTGTAGAGGAGATGCTGCCTATACCTCTTTTTCTGTCTTTTTTTGGTGTTCCCTGTTACAAATTAACATAGTAATAGCCAGGCAGGCTGCCTCAAAGATGCTGAGTGTTTGCCATGGAAGTGGAAGGGCTTGAAGAGAGAGAAAAACAGAAAACCTTTTTTATTTGTCTTGAAAAACTTTGCTTAACCAGTTTGATGCAGCTGAGAGGAGCTTTTAGTTGGGAGTTTTATTTTCCAGACTGAATGTTACTTCCTTACTTGGCGTTTCTTTTTCTGTCTTTCTGCTAGATTAATATCGATTTTATGTTGTCCGTATAATACGATCCAAATTTTGACTAGCTTTGATGGGCCTTGACCATCTGTGCTGGAGAATACTTTGGACAATTATGTTCTAGTTTCCTAGCTTCTAAAGCTACGATAACGCAGAAGATGTCTGCACTGATTTTATTTAATTTTTTGACTGGGACATGGAAACTCTTCTTTTGGAGTTGTGAGAAATAAATGAAATGCAAAAAACTGAAAGCTAGTTTCAAGATATCGAAACAGAACTCTTCTCCCAGGTAAATTTCCAGCCTATTTTGGAGGGAACTGGCATTTTTTTCTTGATGCCAAGCGGTAGAGACTTACAGTATTTACTCTCTGAAATTTCGGATTATTTCCTATAGCTCTGCATGTGGAAAGCAAGGGATGATGTTTATATGCAGTTTCCTGGGAATACCTTTTAGGAGACAGCTTCTAGGAGGAGCACCAGTAGTAACCATGCAGATGACTGAAGCAACATTTTCCCGAAGCTTTCTTCTGCAACACCTTCGTGTGCCTTGAACCTATACCTACGCACTGTACATGTATTTTGGGGTTCCATATCACTAAGTCATTTTAACTTCTCTCCAAAACTGAGCTTGTTGAGGGTTAGAGTACAGCAGCAGACAAGATTTTACTCCTGCCTCAGTCTCTTCCCCCATCATTCTTCATTCGTTTTAAAGGCTTTACACATGGTCTTTCAATAAATTCCTTACTGAATAAGTAAAAGTGGAAGATTTCCCTCAAATTGTTAATAAGGATCCAACTGTGGAATGAAAACATAAATCAAGTTTTCCCGTCCAGTTTATTCTTGCCTTTGCAGCTAACCCTGCCAATACAGTTGTAGTGTTTTCTGTGCAATGTGGATATTAGTTTACTACTTCCATTTCAATAAAACCAAAACCAAACCCCACCTTGTTCCTTTTACCCTGCAATTTTTTTTGCAGTCCTGCCTTTGCTTCTTCCATCTTCTTCTCAATTTAATCTTTGATTTTACTTCAGATTTTGACTAACAACTTCTTTCTTTTACTCTGTCATTGTGTTTTCTCACTCCATAGCGTCCGGTGAGAAGCATCAGTTCATTAATAGCGTTACGTGGCCAGAGTTTTGCTGGTTTGGCTTCTTAGCTAGATAATGAGAAGTGGCTGTAAAGTGCCCGAGCCTGCAGACCTGTCTGTGTCAACTTCTCCTATCAGCCCCACTGCAGAAAAAGCTGGGAAAATGGAAACTTTTCCCATCAGAAAGCCAATGGAGTGCTATGATGCTGCAGAGTATAGATGTGGAATAACCTTAGTTCTTCCTCCTGTCCTCCTCTGTTCCTTACTATTCTTTCTCCTACCCTTTTCTCCATCCTCTGGCGGATGGGGCATGTTTCATGCCAAAGGAGAGAGCGAACTTGGAGGCAAAGCAGAATGCTTTTCCACCGTTGCTTTTCTTGCTGAATTTGAAGGATTTTTCTTGCCCCACGCTCTTAATCTTGGTGTGACGTGGATGGTTTGGATGCAGTGAAGGAGAAAGAAGAGGTTTCCCCTTATTCAAATCTTAAACTGTGCACTCCAAAAGTCACCTAAATAAACTGTGATCTAGACAAGAGAGTTGATGACTGTGATACTAGCTCTTCAGTATTCCTTACGGAAAGGATTCCTTGATTATAGAAAAAACACATTATGTTATACTTTAAAAGAATAAAGTTACTTTCTCGATCTCTGCGATCTATGCCATTCCTGAACTTTACAGAGGGATGTGGGTGTCAAGATACAAATGTGAGCATCACATCCTAGCTTCTGAACTGTTAGGGAATGGATATATGGGTAGTGGGTTCCTACAGATCCCATGGTGGGAAGTAAGTGTAGTTAATGCCCCACTTTGTGGAAAAGGGGTTCAAAATCATACTGATAAATCACTTCCCCTCGCCCATCTTTTTGAATTATTTAAATGGATGTTTCCAGGTATGAATGACCGTGTATTCAAAAACTACAGTATAAAGTAAGAAAATAGTCTCATACTTTCTTAAATATTAACTCCACATCCCCTAAAGACTGAGAGGGAATTACAGGGCAGCAAAATGAAGGGAGTCAGGAAAGCTGCATAGGTATTTCTGTAAGATGCGAACATCCAGTGTCAGTTACGCAACTGGAATGAAATTCTTATTCACTGCAAATATTTATAAAATTTTAGCAGTTACAGCAGGATTATTGTTTTCCCCCATCATTTGGGGAAAGTATGAAGAAAAAAAAAAAGATTTGCTGTATTTTAGATCAACCTGTTTTTCTCACTGCTGCTGTGTATCCTGTGTACCGTTCTTATAAGAAGCATGACTGTACAGTCAGGTTATGGGCTATTTTCTTTTGCGGTATTTAACCCACATTTATTTATTGATTTTTAAGATTAATTTTAGTAAGCACAGTTTTATAAATCTTATGATTATACCGACTGGTAAAGAGCTCAGGAAACCACGGAAACTCTTTTTTGACTGCTGAAGCATTTTTTTTTTTGTTTAAAATGAATGTGGTTTTAACTGCCTGGAAAATATGATCAAAACCATAGGTCCTGTTCCTGCAATTGACTGACTGCAGTTGGGTCCCTGTAACCACACAGAGCTCAATTTCTTTCACTAATGATAATAATAACAGCAGAGTAAACAAATAAATGCAAGAATTCCCTAAAGGTGACAAGTATTGGTGATTTTTTTGATTCTGATTTATGAAATGATAAATAAAATGAAATCAGATGTCAAAGTAACATCGTAGAATACTTTATGTAGCAGTAACCTGTAGCACTACTATCATACTTTATGCTGTAGTAAATAGTGGTAGACTCTAAATCGCAATTTGACTGTGTTTATTTTTATTGTGTTAAGAAATCTCACAAGCAAAGTTATGGGAAACTGAGAATCTCAGTGCTTGGTATATATAGAACTGAGTTCCTGTTCTTTGCATCTACAGTTCTTGCACCCTGAGTTGTAGGGGTCCAGGAGCCTGGTGTTAAAAAGAGCAATTAATCAAAACCTTTTAAATTTTTTTTTTATTATTACTCATGCAAGACCACTCCAGGTGTGAGCTTTTTATTTTTCTTTTTTCCCTTTTTAATATTATCTGCAAACCAATGAGATTATTCAAATTGTGGCACTGATTTCAGGTAGATGATTTTGAAATTTAAGATACTTTCATGTTTCTGAAACCCAAACCCATGTGAGGGATGGCAGAGGTTACTGTTGTTGTTTTTTAAATAGACATTTCATTGCCTGCCTGCTATGGTTGGTTGCTTCAGTATGGAGGAGGGGAGAGTAGAGGTGGCAGGGACTGGTCTGTAACCTTCTAACTTTGAATTTTGGTTTTCTTTTTTTTTAAGAATAGTGAACTGTTCCAAGGCGTAGTTGTCTCAGTGAATGTCATTTTTCAGGGTTGGTGTTTTTAAAGTTTCAGTGAGAACCATTGGCCGCTTCTGGAGTGAGACTAGGGCATGAACATGTCTCGTCCGTGATTACAACTGTCAGTGTGTTCTTTAACAAGCTCTGGTAACTTCGTGTTTTGCATTAGGAATTTGAAATTTGGCAGGTGGCCTTTGTGCTAGGGCTCCGCTGCTGATAATCTGACCAGATTTGACCAAATCATGAATCTCCGGGGGAAGAGGAGCAGTCTGTTTCCATCTGTGCAGCAGATACGTAGCCAGAGGTGGCCTGATGTCGGTGGTGATTGGATATTCTCATTTCGCTGCTCCCGGAGCCAGCTGGATTGTTTGCATCCTCCTCTGCCCAAGCATCACGTATCATTTGAGATACGTAGGGACAAGCTGAAGCTTCTTTAAGTGCTGCTTCCAGCTCCTGTGGGATGGGACCGTGCTCCCAGTGATGCTTCTGTTGTTGTTCGGCAATGGTTGAAGCCACATAGATTCATAGAATCGTAGGATCATTTAGGTTGGAAAAGACCTTTAAGATCATGGAGTCCAAACATAAACCTAACGCTGTCAAGTCCACGACTAAACCGTGTCCTGAAGCACCACGTCTACACGTCTGAAGAAAGCGTATAGGAACGGGAGCCTGACATGACAACGATGAGGAGAAATTGGAAAGAGGCTGTGGCTGGCTGCACAAGGAACATGGGATGGGTGCACTGGGGGAGAAAGGGATCTGAATTAAACAAGAAACAGGTAAGGTCTGAGGTTGCTGAGCAAAGAAATGAGAAAAGAGGCAGGATAGGAACAGAGTGACAAAATGCTGGAGAAGGTAAAGTCAGATTTCTTTTTGATGAGAGACTGGAATGGGCAAGGTGTGGGTGGGGGAAGAGAAAGATCTGAGAAGGAACGGCGTCTGGGAGGATGAGGAGCTGGGAATGAGCTACAGGGAAGGAAAACGGGAAGGGTGACAGCACAGGAAGCCATAGGTGGATGAGAAGGATGTTACTGGAGATGTTGGAGGGCTCAAGGTCCTCCTTGAGCGTATCTAACTTGTTACAGTCGCATTCCTCTTGTCCCATGGGGAGACCCTTTGTGAGAGAGTACATGGTGGGACCTGACACTTCAGAGTTCCATCATAGCGTGAATGGAGGAACTTCCACTTTGGTTGGTAAAGTACAGGGATGCACCTCACAAAATAGCACCAAAGGGGGTCAGGGGATCCATGGGACTCGTTTTATTTGCGGGAGCAGGTTGCTTTGCTGTTTCACTCATAGTTGAGAGACACTAAGACATAGCTTATTAGAGATTTAATCAGTAAGTTGGTCTTTTTTGTTAGGGTAAGTGTATTTTGTCTCGGGGTCGGGGACAGGGACCCAACCCTTCGGTATCGTTTTAGAGCAAATTGAGTGAAATTCTTTCTTTTCGATAATCATCTGGAAACATGTCCCTTTATGTACTATTGCTTTGGATTTACATTGCACGTCATGTCAAAATAGTATTTTATACTACCCATTTTCATAGTTGTGGGTTTGTGTTTTTTTTTTTTTTAAGAGTATGTTAAATTTTCAATAATCTAAGCATTCAGGAGTCAGGAAATGAAACGTGCAACCACAACTTATCCCTGTTATATTTATGTATTACAGAGTGTAACTGTTACTTAATCATCATGTACGAGTCTTCAAATAACTTCTTCTGGAAGGTTCAAGTGCTCAGCTTGAGATATTTTATGTTGTCAAAGTTGTTCATTTATTTCTTTATATAAAATCTTCTCTTGAATTCACATAATCATGAATAAGCTGTTTTTAAGAAATCACAAACAATTAATTGCAACCAAAGTGGCTGTCTATGCTTATTTTAGCGTTTTGCAGTTGTAAAGCAATCCACTAACTTGCTGTATCTGATCATAGATTTATGCTTAGCGCCTCGGGATGATCACGTTCTCCTCTGGCAGAGTGTCTTCTTGCAGTGAAGTGCATATATGCAATCCATTAATTACACAATTAACAGCTTTTTAACTTTTCAGTTGCCTGTTTTGTGAAAATACGTGTGGGTTTTTCTTTGTCTTTCTCTTCTACATTGTCCATCCTACCTAGTTGTCCTTTTTTACTGAAACTCCTTGGATGGCTTGCTTTCATTTATACCATCATCACTTTGTCTTAAAATAGTATTAGTGACTTGTTATAACCAGAAATTATACTTGTTTCCACATCCACTCGTAGCCTGCTATATGTGGAAACCTTTCTTGTAGTGATTTCATGTTTCCTATTTGTTCCTCAGCCTTGACCATTCTTCCCTTAAATACCTCTTAAGTCTTTCCCTCTTTCCCGTATTCTGATTTTTCTATCCTTTTAGCAAAAGGTGTTTACCAGAAATTGTCACACTTGAGCCTGTTGCTGGGGATGTTTGTCACCTTAGCCAGCCCTGTACTACTATTAGATAATGGTTTTCCCATCTGTATGTTATAGTTGTTGGTTTCACTTTAGCTCCCCTGTGGGAAATAGGAAGGTGCTGACAAGAAGTCAGGTACTAGGTAGCATGTGATAATGGAGATATGTTGATTTTTTTTTTTTAATTTATTTTAATGATCTGAACTTCTGTTTTGTCTCTTCATATATGACTTCTGTATCTCAAACTGCATCAGCTTACCTACAAACATGAATTTCCTGAGCCTACCAAATACATCTTCAGTGGCTGTATCTTTTTTTTTCATTTTAGAATATCTGGTCTGTAATGATGTACCTCTTGTTGTATAGGCCTTTGTATTCCTGATTTTCAAAGCATAAATGGGTAAGAATCCTTTTAGGAGGTTCCTTCTTTTTAGGAGGTTCATCAAAAAACCACCAAGATCTTCCAGCATAAGCAAATGCAATCTTCTCTGAAATACTTAATGAAAGAGAGGCTTTCAAATCTGCTAGGAATAAAGTGAGGGAGGAGAGAGTTTGATGAATCATAATTAGGATGCTATTTCAAATAGCTCTTGTACTGTGGAAGAGCTTCAAGAGACACAGAGTTGAGGTGAGAATAAGGGTTGGAGGTAAATGAAAGAAATGTATGTGCACGTGGAATTTGCAGAACCTGGAAGGTTAAAAAATACTAAAAAAAAAAAAAAGGCATTTTGAAGATAGTACTTACAAAGTATTACCTTTGTCTAGAAAAAGCTTCATAGGATTCTTTTTTTTCCACTTGGGTTTTGCTTTACAATCTGTTGACTAAGAGTTTTGATACAGTGGATGTGTCACTATTCTTCACTATTAAGTATTACTTACGGTAGGATCCTACACAATACTAAGGGAGATATAGTATCTCCCAGCACCTTGTGTTAAATAATACCCTGATTTTTGCCAGCAAAACTTCTATCACAAATACAGGGAAAAACCACAGTACCCGTTGCAGAGCTTGACTTGGGGTGCTCTGTGGCAAAGTAATTGAAAAGCAAGTGCCTTGATGGGTGGCCTGGGCAGCCCGGCACTTACGGGGAGCATGGAGCTGAGTGTAGCCGAGAAAACCGGTTATGTGAAGGTGGTGGCTGCTTTTCTGCCCCAAAGGAGAATGCTTCCTTTAAAAAATTGTATTTTTTCCTTTTAGTTCGGCTGGTTTGAATCTTTCAGATTAATCGCGTGTAGTTCTGTCGTGAGTGCAAAGTTTACCGAGACGAGGAACTGTTGGATGCGTTTTTCAAAGGTCTTCGTTGTCGTTGTGCTGTGTATTTGACTTTGGTTGGATAAGTCTTCCTTTGCTTTGTGTTTGGAGCTGATAAAAATGCTTTTAAAGACCTAAGTGGGAGTATGGTGTGGAAGGGAGGGAGGACTTGATCCCAACTGATCATGAAAAGAAACCCTTAAAGCAAAGAGAGCCTGTGTCATACACGTTTGGGATTCAAGGGCAAGAGTTGGTGGATAAAATGAAGCAGAATTATATGTAGGTTACAGGGCTTTTTGCGTAGGTATTTAAGAGTAGGTGACATGAAACAATGATAATCTAACCTCTCCGTTCTCAGCACTAATACGACTTGCGTTACTGTGGTGTTTGACTGCCTTTTGGGTCCTCAAAACAGCATAGTACTTAAGACCTTTGATGCTTCACAGATTGTAATATAGATCATTTGCTTAGTTTATAGGGCTTTGTGGGAGGTATGCGCTCTGTGCATGTGTCTTAAACTTGCTGCAGAAATTAAGACTGCTGACTAGAAACGAAATTCAGCGATAGTCATGCTGTAAAATACCTCAGACTACCTTGCTACGGCTCGTATTCGGAAGGATTGGTCAACAGCGGGCTGTTGGCTGGTTATAATGGTGATCACAGAGTCGCGGAGAGTCACGCAGAATAGAGCATCGGTGAGATTGGACCAGACCTCTGGGATCATCGAGTCCAACCTTTGCCCTAACATCACCGTGTCAACTAGACCATGGCACTAAGTGCCACCTCCAGTCTTTTCCTAAACACCTACAGAGATGGTGACTCCGTCACCTCCCTGGGCAGCCCATCCCAATGCCTAACCACCCTTTCTGTGAAGAAATGCCTCCTCATTTCTAACCTGAACTTCCCCTGGCGAAGTTTCAGACGATGCCCTCTTGTCCTGTCACGAGTTGCCTGGGAGAAGAGACCGACCCCCACCTGGCTACCCCCTCCTTTCAGGGCGTTGTAGGGAGCGGTCTCAGGTCGTTGTAGAGAGCGATCAGGTCTCCCCTCAGCCTCCTCTTCTCCAGACCAAACACCCCCAGCTCCCTCAGCCGCTCCCCATCAGACTTGTGCTCCAGACCCTTCCCCACCTTCGTTGCCCTTCTCTGGACTCGCTCCAGCACCTCAAGGTCTTTCTTGTCGTGAGGGGCCCAGTTTTCTATATTCTTACTCGGACCTAGGTGCTGAACAACTTTGTTCTTTTTTTTTTTTTTTTTTTCAGATATTGAAAAATATCACTTGGTATGCTGAGCGTGTCTTAACAGAGATCTCACTTGGGAGTCTCCTGATCTTAGTCGTCATAAGAACCATCCAGTACAACATGACGCGGACAAGGGTAAGAGTTACGTGTAGCACTTACACACATCTTGTAGTTTTCTAACTTCAACATTGTGAATTCCATTTCAAACAGGGTGTGGGATTTTCTTCATTCTGTTGCAACCAGTTGGCATCTGAATTTACAGGAGGGAAGGAAATGGACAGATCAGGTATATTAACTAAGCGCAACGTTAAGCGGTTATGAACTTGTAACACCGATTCTGTGTTATCATCCAGTTCATTGAGTAGGATTCTCTAAAGACCATAATTCAGGCACTAAACTCTTCTTCAGATGAGAAGAAAAAGTTCTGTGGTTTCCTGAGAAGAAATGATTCCTTATAGGTTGTTTGCCTCTCTTAAATTACTCAAAGTGGGAATTTCAACTCTATTTATTGTTAGTGTTTTTATGAAGTAGGACAGTGACTGGGCCATAAAACCTTTTTGAGTTCCAGCAAAGCAAAACTGCTTCAACTTTATAGCATCGTATTCAATTGGTTTTGTGCATTTTTCAGGCGTTTGATTCTATACCTTATCGTAAACATAGAAGCATGTTATCGTATACTTTTGAATACTTTTAACAATTAAAGACACAGAAATTTTTGCACGAAAAAGTAGAAAAAATATTTAAATATATATTTAATTGGAAAAGTTAAAGATTTCACTTTTATCATCAAAAGAACTGGAAGAAACGAGAACATTCTTGGCATATATTTGTAGGATTTAGAATCTGTTATGTTATGTAAATGCGTATTTTAGACTCGAATAGGGAAATAAATCCCTGTTGGATTGGATAAGTGGACAAGTTTGGTTCTGTGAAAAGCCTTAACTTTGACAGGGCCATTATTTAAATGCTTACCTGGTCAGATGGTTTCAGGAATGCTAACAAGGGGACCAGATCTCGGAAGTATCTGATGGTTATAGCTGTGGGATATGTAGAATGCTTTGAAAAAGTTAATAGGGACATAAGTTATGAAACGGAAAGTTTTAGGATGACATTACAAAAAGGAGAGAGAGGAAGGGAGAGGAGGAGAATGTCTTTCAGTATTTCTTACATCTATGGTGTCATTGTAAATCAGCCATGCTGAAGATATGAAGACGTACACATACACATATATCTGTATACGTATAGACATAGATACTCTGAAACCTCTATGAAACAATCACACTTTTATAAGCCTTATGTTTTAAGAAAACATACTTAAAACATCACCAAATATATACACTGCATTTCTGCTATATGTTTTTGACCATGTCCTTTAAAGCAGCATATATTACTCAGTCTTTTGAATGGTTCCTGCAATAGGTGTCAGTGTATATTAAAAGACCAGCTTGATGTGGGTTTTTTTTCTTTCCTCTGCTTTCTGGCAGGACAAATACCTTCATACAAATTGTCTGGCAGCCTTAGCAAATATGTCAGCACAGTTCCGCTCACTTCATCAGTATGCTGCTCAGAGGATCATCAGGTAAATATAAAGACTTCTCTTGAAACTCATCTTTGCTGCAACTCAGGAGTAGAGAAATTTGAATTTTTTTATATGCCTTAATAGATGCTGATGAACTAAATAGCTCAAATGATAACTGAATAACTAAATAATCCCAGAATAAATCTTATTTCCTTTACACTTGAATCTGTTATGAATGCATAAAAAATATTAGCTTCTCTGTCTGGGAAACTTCTGACATTTGATTCTGTTAACAACTCAGTAGCTGCTTTCAAACTGGAAGGTTTTCAGGGATTTGTGTGAATTAATGGTTTTTCAGTCGTGTATTATGTTATTGTAAAAATGCACTGAGTGGTGGTTCTCAAGTACCCTACAGACTGGATTTTCAACTTGCTGTACTAATTCCTGCATATTTGGCAAAAGATCTGTTTGTTAAATCAGACATAACACGATGATCATTTTGTGACAAGGCCCTGCAAATGTGGGCAATATAAAACCTACACTCGTGCTTTTCAACTGATAGTTTATTAGCCTGTATGGTTATAAATAGCCAATATCCGCTCCGGTTCTAAAACAGGGCCGTGACTTTAAAGAAGTAGATATTGAAGTTGGTCCTTCCTAGTTTGTATCCGTGCTGCAGACCACTTTGTAAAGGCAGGTAATCATGCGTCGGGCATCCTTCTCGTCTTGGCAGTCAGCCCTGCTCCAAGGAAAACTGGGGAGGTCCTTGTTAATACTGTCTGGAATAAACAGTTATAGTGATTGTCACGTACAGACAGTGTGTGAAAAATAAGGGAACGGTAATTGCGTGCCTGTACATTTTGTAAAGGACTGAGTGAACAAGAGAGACATCTTGTCCTTAAACCCACTGCTCTTTAGGGTTTAATTCTCTCCTAGCCCCTTCACTTTTGGAAATGGTTGGTTGTAAACGTAAGGACAAGTAACCAGGATGAATGCGTTCTGCCATTACCTTTTCCCTGCTTGATACTCGCTGTCTTTTCATACCCTTGGCAGTGATAATGAGTGTTCAGAATTTGAATTGGAGCAATTTTCCCGTTACGTATCACAGACACTTTTCTTAAATACTGTTCTCTTCATTTCTTGAATCATAGACGTGGAGTCTGAGTTTTCCAAGCATTTGCAAATGTTGGCCTCTGAAATCATAAATCCTGGTGTGGTGTGAGATACACTACCTTGATGCTCAAAATCTTAGTCTGGTTTTTAGTGTGATTCTTTGTTTGCCACTTCAGAACTTTCTCCTGTGTGCCCAGTTTCTGATTTCATTCCATTTTATTCTACTGCTGTTTCTGCAGACCAAAGCAAGATGTGTTCCTCTGGTTATGTTTGGGGTAGGAGGAGGTTACCTTGCTAGTCCAGTTACAGCCGACTGTCCTCACCACCCAATAACCTTGTAGCCATCCAGCGAAACTGCATGTGTATTTCCATGTGGTTTGGCTTTTGTCAAAATGCTCTGAATTTATGGACATCTACTGTTCAAAATTTAACCTCGTGGTTCAGAGTAAGCTCAGCTGATTTAATTGGGTTGTGAAATGGCTGTGCATGTGGTCTGCTGGCTTATCAGAAGAGGTCGCAGCCGTCAGTAGACAAGCAGCAACCTCAGTGCCTTTGCACACATGTCTCATCTCAACCTTTAAACTCAGAAACAAGAAAGGAGCCTTTTGTACCGTGAGGCTCCTCCCTACACCAGCCTTTTCCAGCCTTCTTGCATGCGGTTTTCACTATGTCTAAGAGCATCTTTGAGGCAGATTGACTCCGTGATGTATAAGACCCATCTCAAGACCTGAGAAAGGATGTGCAACACCCTTCACATTTAGTTGTGAAATAATTGTGCTGATATTCTTACTGAAGGCAGGCAGACTTCTGTTGTGGCTTGACACTGATGCGTGCGGAAAGGAGGTGATGGGGTGAATGGCAGAAAACGGGAAAAAAATTGTCACATTGAAATTGTCTGTCAAATTATCTATCCTTTGTTGTGTGAAGGACTAACAAAGCCACACTTGAAATGTGCCAAATAAAAAGAGAGACCTTAGAGCAAACGCATAGTACTGGTATATTCAAAATTCTTAGGTCTTCCAAAGATGTCAGCTCTTAGTAGCTACTGTTGGTTGGTTTCTGTATGGCTTTTAGCAGAGAGACTTGATGTGGGATCAGAGCTGGACGGTATTACAAATAATAACCAACCAAATGCGCAAAAAATTGTGTTGTCCGGTTGTTCAGAGAGCAGAGTCAGAATAAGATCAGCGAGACTGTGCTTGAAGTTAACACTTCAGTAATCTTTGGGGATAGATGGAAGATAAAGGGTTGTCAGGCACTGGAAGAGGCTGCCCAGGGAAGTGGTAGAGTCCCCATCCCTGGAGGTATTTAAAAGAGATGTAGATGTGGTGCTTAGGGACATGGTTTTGTGGTGGGCTTGGCCGTGGTTGGACTTGATGATCTTAAGGGTCTTTTCTGACCTAAATGATTCTATGATTCTATAATTTAGTCTGAGACCTCAATACATTTGGAGAATTGCAGAGATAGTAGTCTGGTAGGATAGCAGGCTGAGAAGGATGCTGCTTATCCCAGCCAGTGAGTGCTGGCAAGGTTGGAGCTGTATTTTTCTGCTTGGAAATAATGTAAGGATTGGTAAAGAAAATGGACATACTCATAACTGAAAAAGCAAAACAAAAAGGCAATATGATATATCATATATAATACAACATTTTTACATAGTGCAAAGATATTCCACGCTGTTATTTTTAAGCTTTTGCCTTGTTCTAACCAGACACTCCATATTATTATACAGTGGAAATTGTAATGAGAGAGGTAACTTTAAATTTGAAATAGAACCAGAAAAACAAGAGGAGGA